ACGCCGTCGTTGATGTGGAAAAGATGCTCCTCGGTGATGTACGCAAGGCTTTGTGGTTTTTTTTTCGTTTTTGGTCGTCGTGCGGGGCTAAAATGAGAAGAAGAGGGGGTCGAGGCCTCCTCGGTCCGGACAGTCCCCTCGCCAAGACGCCCCCCATTTTCTCCTCATCCTCATCGCCCATGGACCCTCCATCGGCGTGGATTTCACCCATTTCCTCGGGTTCAGACGCCATGTGATTGAGCTCAGCGGCTTTTTGACGTCGAAAGCAGGCCGCGGCGTAAAATGAATCGTTTGGGGTTTCTTTTTCCCCTTTGTTGGCCATTTCGCCTTTAATTTCTACCGGGGAGGAGTGGTCGAGGTGGGAGTGGGGACGGCGGCGAAGCCACCTCACCAACCCCTCCTCCCCTCGCAGCCCGACAGCGTGGCTCGGTAGAAGTAAATACCACCCACACGAGGTTGAAATATAAAAATACGACCCGGACGAAAAAGCCGCGCGAAAGGCGAGAAAACGCCGCAAAGAAACGCTCCTTCGCGACGTTTGAAGCAAATTTTCGAGAAACGGGGCCGCCGCAGGGGCGGTATGAGGGGATTCAGAAACGCAGCGGAGGGCGGAGGAGTCGAGAAAGGGCGCGAGCTGCGAAATGCGGGACTGGGGCAGGCCGTTGAGAGCCGCCGGGAGGACGACAACCGGGGTGAATTTTTTGATCAGCCGCGTGGAAAAGACGCCGATGGCACCCGGGACGCGTTTGCTCGGGGCAAGCCGCGTGAGCCCGAGGGAAGGGCCGTGTAAAAAGCCGTTTAAACGCCCCGGGGAGGTCGAAAACGCGCACCGATAAAGCCGGACTCGCGAAATCGTCGACGTCATGTCGGAGCGAATTCGCTCGTTCCCGCGATGCGCTGGATTGCTTCCGGCAGACTTTGTGTGTGAAACGATCGGGAGCTCGCCCTATTGGATAAGGTTGAGAGGGATGAAAAGGGAAACGGATTCAGCATGGAACGGGCATTCGAACATACGCTACGGAAAAGAAAGCATAACTAGGGAAACGAACAGAAAATAGAGGTTTCAAACCCTGATGGGGGCATGAACCCCATCGCTACCAACCCATACCGTGTATCTTGATCCACCGATTGGGCACGCGCTACGAAGTTTTTAAGTCGCCACCCTGCCCGGTAGGATCGACCGCCAGACAACCCACCCACCCCCCAACATTCCAGTGGAAATCAACAAGGATCCTCATTCACGTAAACGGTGTAGTATAGTATTTAGATAGCATCAAACGTAATCACCTTTTCACGCCCACCACCCCCTCCCCCGTCCACACAATCGTGAAGTCGGAGAAGTCGAGCGGCGAAGGGAAAATCGTTAGGTGGAAGACGCATCAGTAATCATACGGATCCCTCGCTTCGAAGATTCCCACCAAAGCATCTGCCGTACCCCCCCTCACGCACACCATCCAGCTCAGCCTATTCCACATGGAAGAGGCCTGCCCATGTCAATGCCCCATGTGTTCGATTATCCCCTAAAACTTCCTTCCTGGACTTCGCCTTGTGTGTGCCGCCGCTAACCTCAAAAGAAACGTGTGGGAAATAGCAAGAGTGCGCCGCGAGGCAGAAATTCGTTAACATCAGTCAAAAGATGAAAATAGTCAAACAGTCTTGGGGGGCCCGTTTTGTCGGGATGTATTCTCGGTGTGGGAATATACATGGATCTTGTCGCCTATTCACCAAGGACAAATTCAAATAGGCGCATATTTAGGACACGCAATGTTTAATATATAAAAAATGTCAAAGAAAGTAAAGAAAGGCAAACGAAAAGCCATGTCGGCACTTTTTCTCCGGAAGGAACAGCAGAGTAAAATATAAACAGATTAATGGATATAAAACAGTGGACCAAAAAGCTGCCACCCCCCCCCTTGTCTAGACGAATTCATCCCCCGCACCCACCCATCGATTGACAAAATAGACGCCGATCGCGATCAGGGCGATTCGTTTTTCGCACACTGCGCAATACCGGCAGGGGGGCGAGGCCGTCGAGTATAGATCGGCCGAGTTGGTTGTGCATTGGGGCAAACCGCGCGCAGCGCCCTCACCGCTGTCTGCAGTCGACCCTTCGCGAACGCGCCCATCCCCAGCTTTCTTTTTCCTTTATTTTCCACTGATCTCGCATCAAAAACATCCCGATGGATGGTAACCGCGCACACTTTGGTCTGTTGGAAGATGTGCTATAGATGCTGAGTTCACCCGATGTGTTTTATTCCCCTTCACTGAACTCCCATAAGGTGGCTTTGGATTCACGGAATACTCCGGAAAGGTGCTCTTCAGTGCATTCCATATATCGTTCGACGAAGTCTGAGAGGAGGACAAGCACGCCCCCTGTCTATCGATTTGACTCGTCTCCGGCGGTATCGGTCCATCCGCATATGATAATGCTGTTCCCTTTGTACGCTTTGCCCACAAAGGATCGCTCCACTTGGTCCGATTCCTTGGAATGGATAAAGACAAGCCCTCTTTTCCCCTTTGTTGTCGTTGTCCATCCCAGTAGTTTAACCGTGTCGGGGGCTGTGGAGTTGGGGAGGCTTCGACCCCCCCTTCGTCGTTGTTTAGTTCGCCTTTTCCTCCCTCCCCCCCTGACATCCCCATCAAGGGCGGCGTTGGGGTTGGGATGCGGTAGAAGTTTACATCACATACCGGGCGACTTAGTCGCTCAATGAGCGCCTTGCAGGCCTTTTTTGGAATTTTATTCCCCAAAATCCCGCTGAACTGGAACATGACGGAGTTGGATGACTTGGGGACCGTCGCCCGCACGGGCGTCGATATGGGGCTCTTCGGAAGACTGCCAGGAGGCACCGTTGACGACGACAACAAGTCTTGGTCGGACGAATCCATCGAAAGTTCGGGCATTTCTTTCTGAAAAAACTGTCTCGCGCTTTGGACAGGAGGTTCCACCGCCAAAGGGGGTTTAGTCGGCTTCACCGGCTTCGTATGCCGAGTCTTCAAATCCACTTCGCCCCCAATCACGGCGTAGCATTCATAGCGGAGAATTGGGACGGTGTTCTTTCGAAGCGTATCAAGAAGCCTTCGAGCGTGTGCGCGGGCCACCACCGAAGCGGTGATCTCATCTGCCGGGCGTGGGGTCAAATATCGCCTCTGGAAGTTGCCGCGAGGCCCTGTGGAATGGGTAGGATCCTCTTTATTCTCAAGAATCCCCGAGTGTTTCCTCGGCCCGTTCGCGCACTGCAGCAAAGAGGATCCTTTCGAAGGGCTCATAGCACTGCTGGCGGTAAGTCCACCTCGGCGGCCTGTACCCGATAAAGGGGAGGTTGTCTCGTTCTCTAAAATAACGCTGGGAGGATTCGGGGGCTTTGCGGTGAGCATCAAGTGTAGGGAATCGGTAAGGGCCTCCAACTGCATTTGCGCCTCAACGATTAAAAACCGCAATGCGGCTTCCATAAGGCCAACAGATCGCAGGTAGGTAGTCCCCTCCGCGCCGACAATGCGAGACATGTTCGACGGATCCATCCACGCGAGAAGCATACAAAGCGTCGGTGGTCGCCGTCTTGTATTGGAAGAGCAATACGACACACTTAACTTGGGCTCTTTGAGAGTGTGCTGAGTCTTTTGAGACGATGGTTGTGTACTGGATAAACAAACTACTCCATCGCGCTGCATCATACACAGCTGTCCTCTGAGCAGCTCTGTGAAGTCTTTAACCATTATAATGCTGTGTCGGTTGTCTTCTTTGTTGGTGCTCGCCTCCCTAGAGTAGGTATGGCCTCGCTTAGGTTGTGTATGACCTTTCTCTGGAAATGCCAAAAGCTTAATCATAGCGTTAGTAGCATCCACTATGATCGGTTCCGGGGATAAATCTGAGCTGTAATCTGCGTATCGCTTCATGGTTCGTTTCCAGGCATCTAATGTTATAAAACAATTTCCTTCAGTTCCAGGGCTGAGGGTGCTGTCTTCTCTAGACTCATTCAGCGAGTCACCACCGCACCTCCTGAAAAGTGTCACCACCACATCTCTCACACTGTAAAGAGAAACACAGGATTTAATTGGCACCCCATCGAGTTCGTTGTACGCCGGCGATGGCAATCGCGATGAGCAGCTCTCATGTGAATAATGACCTTTCTGCTTGTTTGGTGTCTTTATCTCAGCAGTAGAATTCAAAATGTGATAAATGCACCGTCCCTCACTATCTTGCGGCAAATGCCTAGATGAAGAAGAAAAGGGCGAAGAGCATAACTCTCTGTCTTGTATATCATACTCTGATTCTCTAAACCTATCGTCGAGGTTTACAGAAGGTGGTGGTTGAAGGGGGGGGCACCCCTGTTTTTGCCAGCAATCCTGTACTAAATCAAGCCACTCCTGTGGCTGAAGAAGATCTGACGAAATACGCACCCCCTGAACTTCCTTGCAACTATTTCCTTTCCTAGGAACGCCGTTTTGATTATACAGCCCATCCTCACTGACATTACCAATTTTATCTCTAAATTCAGCTTTCTCTTGTATCATGGTCAACCTGTCGGCAGTATTTGCGGTAGATGAAGGCAATGTTAAGCCGAGAAAATTATAAAGGATGGATTTGAGGCCTGATTGGTAAACACCACCCAACTTTAGGTAGAGCTCCAGAAGGTGTTCCTGCTGACCAGAGGAAAAGACGGGGTGGACGCTCTTAGGAGTTGTCCTTAGTACATAATGTTCCCCTTTTGATAATGATCTTGCGGCTGGTGATGATGAGGTGCTGAATTGAGATGGGTAGTTTTTTACCCACTCATCTAATGATTCCTGTGTATTGGATGCTTTTGTTAATCTGTTCATTCAGTCTTAACTTTTTTCTTCTTTTTTATGCGCTACAGATACCCTTTCTCCTCACCTAATCTATAATCATCAAGAAATGCTGTAGTAGGTGATTTTTTTAATCCTTCAAGAGGTTAAGATTTTCTGTAGCAACCTTTTACCGTTTATCAATGAGAAACAAAAGGTAGAAAAATATAATTATGGACGTAGTAAAAAGATGTGACAAAACTTTAAGTCTAATTATTATTATAGATTTCTCATATGAGAGGGAAAAAAATAACCATGGTGAGCATATTGCTGGAGCACTTGGTATTCTTATTGGTTTAAAAATAAGAGAAAGACTTTGGCTGATTTGTGTAAGCTCACGTATCGGTTCTCCTCAAGCTCTGGTGTAGCTTTCAATATTAAAAAAAAAGGAAATCACCATTAATGAGATCCTTGTAGTATTGATGGGAACTAGATCTCGAAAAAAAAAGGAGACTTAGTTATAAAAAAAAATGAAAGTCTGTTACGTCTTTTAATCGATTTTATCACACCCTCCTGAATGTATTTTTATCCCTAATTTTGTACCTACACGAAGCATCTTGCTCTTCACAGTAGCTCATGGTATACCAGATGGCTTACCCACCACACTCTCACCAATCATTGAATCTCTCAGATTGATACGCGATCCAGGCAGGACTGCAGCACCTTCCTCTACAGGAGCCTCGCTAAACAGCTTATCATCAGTGACCTGCGGAGCCTCCTCCACAACCAGCACTTCCCGTCGCAGATACACACCCTTCTTCTGCAAAGCACAATCTTTTGAGCAGGTGTATACTGTAGCGGTCCCAAAATCGACCCCTTCATCCCCCGTACTACACCCGACATCCTCCACGTATTCATGAACCCGCATGTAATACAGCGCGGTTGGCAAAACCTGCACCTCATAAACGAGCGATGCACCGCAAAATGCACAGGCCGGGATGGTGGACTGTTGCAACTTTAATTTGTGCGGATTCATAAACAAAGGGCGTTCGTGCCGCCCCTGTAACCCCTGCCCTGTCGCGGCCATCGGGGGCGTGCGTTGGTGGTAGCGCAGCAGCTGCGTCGGGGCCCGCGCGACGCGGGTTCGGAACTTCTCATAGTAGTAATCCGACCGCTTGTCCTTCAGGTCGACCATCTGGGCGAGGGCCTTGAGGTCGTCGTCCGGGAAGGGCACGCCGTGGTTCGCATCGGCGGCACGGGAGTTAGCCTCCGCCATTTTGATCATCTCAAGCTCGAGGTCCGTCGGCGTGACCCCCTCCCCCTCCTCGGGCTCCTCCACGACGCGGACGAAGCAGGGCGGGAAGGAGTGGGGCGCAAGCTCGCCCGGCGGGAGAGGAGCCGTAAGGACGACGTCCGCGTCGGCCGCCAACGTCGATTCCCCATCGTCCTGGTCGACCTGCAGGCTGAAGGCGGCCCAGCTCCGCGAGGGCTCCCGCGCGCAGCCGGAGGTGTTGCAGCAGAAGACATACAGCATACGGTGGTGCGGGGTCGAGGGGGCATCCTGAGGGAGGGGGCTGTAGGCCTGGAGGAGGAGGAACATAGGATGGCTGCAGACCCCACAGCGGGTCCAACGGTCAATCTGGCCTCGCTGCTCGGGGGTGATTGGGGGGAAGTAGGTAAGGGCCCCGCCAAGCTTCGTCTCCGAGGTAAGTTGGTCATCCCCGCGGGACATATACCCGTCAAAGAGCCCTAGTAATGTTTGATGCAACATTATTCTCCTTACTACAGATCATCATAAAAGCAAACCCAAAAAAGATATAGGTATGAAAATAATAGAGAGCGGAAAAAAGAATCAATCGATGCATTTAGTAACATTCTCTGTAAATTCACTCAAGTAATCACTGGAGAAAAAAAAAAGAATAAATAACAAAAGTCATGTTATTCATTTTTTTTTTAAGGAGTTCGATATTTCGTTTCAGAACTTAATAAGCATACGATAGTGTTTGGTAACTGAAAATGACTGTCTATGTTTAAAATAAGTTAAGGGAGACGAATTATAAAACTTCAGAAAAAGGATCCTTGATTAACTATAAATGCACACAAAGTTTTTCGTATACCCTCTGACCCCACCCACTCACACACGCACACGTGGTATGGCCCTTTTAGTAATGTTTAAAGATTGAAAAAAAGGAACTTTATCCTATAACCAAAAAGGAGAAGATATTTTTGGGTATTTTATTCTACTTATTTCATTCGGTTTGAATCTTATCTGCCAACCTAAGTGTACAATAAATCGAAGTATGATTTAAAAAAACATTACTATTGAAGCCAGGAAAAGATACTATTTCATAACTTTGTAATCAGAAATAAGTATTGTATAATAAATGACGTGAAATTACATCATGATCAAATAAAACAAAACAAAAAAGGTAATAGCAATGTTGTTAATGGTACATTTTTCCATCTATATTGACTCATATCATCGATACCTATCATTAATTACTCTTTCCATAAATTTTATTACGAGAAATTCATCATGGGTAATAAAAAAATCCACCTATTCACCACTATCTGTAGCAACCACTCCAGTAATGTTAGTGGAAAAAGGACGATGTTGATGGGAAAGGGCAAACCACTGCTATGAGATACCTGCCATAAAAACCCAGTCGCTGCCACAACCACCATGAGCACCTTCGACTTCGGATCACTCAGATTCAGATTGTCCATCAACAAGCCCTTTTTCTGAGAAAGCGTAATCATGTTCTGAACAAACATATGAGAACCTCGAATTGCGCAGTTTAAGCCGCCAACCCACCCACCAATAAATATCGCTAAGATCATGCAGATCACGTTGAGCAAGGTATCCGCTAGAATCCCAGACCATTTCTTGGAACCCGGCGGTAGGTGTTCAGACAAAATACTCTCTAATGGGATGCTCTTGCCTATTGTGTGTGCTGAAGATAGGGCAAGTGCTAAATATCGCGCCATCTTTAGCCGCAGCGCGGCAATCATCGAAAAGTAAGCCGTTGCAAGCGTCCGGACAGCAGAACGCACCTCTACCACGTCTACGGTCTTCATGAAAAGACTTAATTTCTGAAAAAGCAGGTCTTGTCTGCTTATTTCCTGCATATTAGGAATCTTATTGCCATTCGTATCGATAAAGTCATCCTTACGACTACTTTCCATGGCGATTTGATAGTTATGGTGCAATGTATGGATAGAAGTAACCAATTCCCTCCAGCAAAGCATCCTCACAGTTTCTAAGATGGTTACTAACATTAAGTAATGACAGCCAAAGAAGCACAACATGAGACCAAACACTATGGGGAACAAATCAGCTAGGTCGTGTTCATGCAATATTTCATATGCAGCGGTAAAGTAGTCGATAAGAATAATAACATAGTCAAATGAAAGAAAGATCATGTTCAAGATGCTATAACTGAAAGTACTGATCATATCTATCTCTTTTGAATGGGATGCATGTGCCTTTCTGGAGCCCTGAATGGACTCCCTCGGGAAAAAGCAATCAGATCCAGAGCGCATAAACATAAACAGAATGAAATCAGGAAATTATAACTTGCCTTATGTATGCTGAAATGTCAGAAACACTTTTTATGTGCTATGATCCTTAATTTTCCTTTCTTCTGTACACACTATTCGAGCTGGCACTTCAAACAATAAT